CCGCCCCTCGCCGGCGGCGGTGCCGCCGCTGGAGGACGAAAACCTCCTCTCCGAGATCCTCCTCCGCCTCCCCCATAGCCGTCCTCCCTCCCCCACGCCTCCCTCGTCTGCAAGCGCTGGCGCGGCCTCGTCTCCGATCCAGGCTTCTGCCGAAGGTTCCACCGCCGCCACCGCCGCAACCCTCCCCTCCTCGGTTTCTTCCAAGTAGACGACGGGCTCTCCTTCATGCCTTCCCTCAAGGCCCCGGATCGTGTCTCGCCCGAGCGCTTCTCCTTGCAACACGAAGATTTGGTCGACCGCTTCTTCTCCCTTGGATGCCGCCATGGCCTGGCACTCATCTACCTTCGCAAGCGTCTCCAGCTCCTTGTGTGGGACCCCGTCACCGGCGACCAGCACCACATTGCCGTCCCCCCGGGGTTCGACACGGAGACATCCCCAATCAGCGGCGCGGTGTTTCGCTCTGCCGGAGACGTACAACACTTCCATCTGGCTTTGGTAGGGAGCAGTGAGAGACAAATTACGCAAGCAGTCGCCCGTGTTTACTCGTCGGAAACCGGTGTATGGGGCGACCTTATCACAACACCGCTTCAATCCGAGGATGCTGCCCATTTTCGCATTGCGGTTTCTATGATCAAGCCTGCTGTGCTGGTTGGGGGTTGTCTTTACTGGTTGCTTGATGGGAGCTTGGGTGGGATCCTTGAATTTGATATGGATCGGCAAAGACTAGCTGTGATACCTATGCCAGTAAATGACCTAAGGTTTTTCCACTTCTCGATGATACGGGCAGATGGTGGTGGATTTGGTCTCCTCGTTTTATCAGGCTTCAGTGCCCAATTCTGGAAGAGAAGGATCAATTGCGATGGTGTTGCTTCATGGGTGTTGGGAAGAACCATTGAAATTGACAAGCTACTTCACTGTGAACCAGATTCGAATGGGAGCCAATTAATACTAGGTTTTGCTGAGGACAATAACGTGGTTCTTTTTTGGACAGTTGATGGCCCTGTCATGTTACAGCTTGAGTCACTACAGTCTGAGAAAGTCTTGGGAACCAAAATCATGGCTCACTATCACTCATTTGAAAGTGTTTATACTACAGGTAATATCATGTTTTACATCATGGGTATAATAAAACCAAGTTAATTGTTGATAATTGTTTGAAGTAATACTGTGCACACACTTTCGTGTTAAGCTATCAATTTAGTAGTGGTATATTAGTTTTTTAATTGCGGCTTGATGAACTAGATTTTCAAAAGTGATGTGATTTGTGAAATTTTGTTTCATTTAGTTGATCTAAAGAGGGTCAGAGAATACCCTAAAGGATACCCATTTGCACCTCTACTGAGGAGCTAATAGTCCTAGTGTGCATCTTTCATTTTTACGATAATCAGATCCGGTTTCATTTATCTTTCTCTGGCGTTGTCTCCAAATTGATTTTTTTTCAAACTACAGCTGTGAGTTTATCTAAGTATCTTGATGCCTCCTCATGTCTGTTTGGCTTTTTGTTGGAATGTCCTTGGTTGTTTGACTTTGTATGCTTGCAGAAAGAGGAATTGGTGGTCCTGAAGCTGATCTTTTGCACAACACCTGAGATTCTTGTCCAGTTAGATATGCTATTGTGATTTACTGGTTACGCAGGTAAGCTTACCTTCTGCAAGCAGGTTGGGGCATTTGAACTCTTCTTAAACAAAATGTACGGCTTTCCTTTTTACTGCCACTCCTCAAGTAGAAGAGAGGACCCAGATTTTCTCTACAACACTTTGCTTAGATGTTGCCCACCTGGCAGTGGTGGAGCTTGAAAGAAATATGAGGGGCGAAGTTAAGCAGTGGTAGGCACAATATTTGGAGAATGGTTTTTTCATATTCTGGAGAAATCGACCATGCAAAACAAAATTACCCTTCCATGAAGAAAAACATGATTTAGATTACCAAAATTGTAAATATACATTATTCTTGGCAACTTTAAATATCTCAAATAATTTGGACAAGTTAAAACATAATGAAATTTAAATTGCAAATTGCTAGATGATTGATTTTTATAGTCTAGTCTCTTAATTGCAGCAAAATATAATGTTTGCACTAGTGGAAGTGTATTTATTAAGTTAACAAGGAATGGATGCATCGGGCACGACAATGGCTGTGACTGAGCGAAACTGATTTTCACTTGTTAGGAATATGAACGAAATAGATCCCATACTGCCTTTTTCTCGCTAATCCCAGGCATGTCCAAGGATGTGCTAGAACTTATTTTGAGTGGACCGGTGGGGCAAGTGAAGCTGAACGCCAGGGCCTAACAGTCTTGGAGATGGTCCAGTGGCTGGCCACCTGTCACGCTTTCATGGCACACTGCATATTTGACAGTCTTTTCTCGACGCCCTGCTTCTTCATCCCTTCATTAGCAGCTCTCCATTCTCTTCCTCATGCCTTCACCCATCTACCTTCTCTTGTATTTGCTGATATTCTGCCCCCTCTCTATTGGATGTGCTCTTTCAGTTGCCTTCCCTGTCCATCCAACCGCCTCACTTTCAGCTAGCTCCTCCCTATTACTCTCCCAGTTCCTTCTGTTAGTGCAGGTTATTCTCCCTCTACTCCTCTAATGGCTGATGACTTAGGACCCTTCCCCTTTTGTGCATATGTTTGTGTCTGCTCATAGATGATAATGATGTCACATTAGTGGTAGCATAACTAAATACATCATCTTTCATGTGCTTCATGGATGCTCTTTTGTTTTACTTCTACCATTTTCTACATTGCATGTGATCATTTTGTATGGTTAAGGATATATCAAGTCCTACTGTAATTTGTACGTTCTTCCCTCTCGTTCCCTTCATACTTTCTTTATTCGTACGGGCTTATAGCTATGCCATTTGCACATTTTACACTGTTGATATTTGGGGTCATTATGGTACCTAGTGAAATAATGACTATTAGGATATTTATTCTAGTGTTAGCCTGTTTGCTTAAATATTTTCTCAGCATATCTCGCAATGTTTGTCTAATTGGAATATGTATGGGCGGCCTATTTTCTCATTATTTGGTCATATTCGATGTTCAATACTTCATATTAAACACATGACCAAAATGGCTGGATTCACCATAAATACTGCTTTAATCTTGAATTGCATTTTTACTTAACATTTATCATTATAAGTGGTGGCCAAAGTATTGTTTTGATGTTGTACGGATTAAAATAGAATGTCATATGTATTGTAGATTGAAGGAAGTGTATCTATTAATAAGACGATGCATGATCCCTTAATTGATTCTTCGACTGAATGAATCTAACTAAATTTGATTTGTTAGCAACTAGCTAGGTAAATCAGATGTTTCTCCTTTCCTATTCCATGAGCCCCTCATATGCCCATCATAACGAAAAATATTTTAAATGATTTGGTGAGCTAGGATCTTCGGAATTGGCCTCCTATGGAGTTCTTAAAGCCACTAATCTTTTAGCCTCTACTAACATCAAATGTAGCCAAAAAACTTGATGTTGGCGATGGAATTTCTAGGCGTGCCACTATTTTGCAAATCACCTATTGCTTCTCTTTGTTCGTATTGCTGGCATTGTGTTAATGCTGAGAGGATCCAAATTTGGAGATTTTGGTAGAAGTCCACAACACTAGTGTAGCGACGTTTACTGTTTGAGTCGTACAAAAATTGGGCGATATAACTTTAATAGATTTTGCATGAATGACTTGTACAGATTGGCTTGACTGATGAAATTGATTGCTCTGCAGGTGTCTGGAATTACAGTCCGGTGGCAGATGCAGAAACGGCTTTTTTGCTGTAGGTTCTTCCATTTTATATGCTGTGTTGGTGCTGGCATTATTCATTAGTCAACTGGCATGAAGACACGTTTCGCTTGTTTGTGTTGGCGCTGTCGGTTATCTCGCTTGCAAGCGTTTGAGGCAAGCCAAAGTCTTCTGTCCTGTGTTGTGTCTGGTCGAGATTGTAACTACTATTCTCTGATTAAGCTTTTGTCTCTCTTTTTTTCGTGTGTGCATGCGTGTACTTGGGTTTGTACTACATTAGATATAAATATGTATGTCGAAAAGATAGCAATGCTGCGGTGATGCTATAAGAGTTGAATTTGTGCCACATGATCGAACACACGTAGTTGTCAGGATCACATTACTCTTGGCGAATATAAGATTGCACCCCATTGTGTTGTTACCAGAATGCCCAGGATGTGAGCTGTGTAGAGTTTGCTGTGTGTGGCTCAGGATGCATAAAGTTTGTCTTCTGTTTCATTTCGCTGGAATTACATTCAGAAGGTTCTAAGCTGTCTGGAAGTAGTACTGTTGTACCCTCTCCAGCTCTAAACAATCCCTTGGCTGTGAAGTTGCTGCATGTGTTGGTGCAGAGGAACAAAACCGAATGCCTTTTGCAACAACAAAAAAAGAGGAAGTGGAAGAAAGAAAACCCGAATGCGTGCAGTGATGCGTGTTCATCTCAGGAGCAGGAGAGTGCCGCCCATCTGACCCTGCATTTCCGCTGTTACATGAAGGACGTCAGGTCTGGCATTGATTTCAGAACTCTAACGCTAGAGTGTGCTCAATTGCTTCTTCGGCGTCCACAATCCGGGGGTGGTGGAGGAGGGTTTGCTCGGGCAGCGGCTCGCAGGGCAACAAGAAGAAAGATCTGAAATCAAATAATTTCCAACAAAAAGAAGTGCGTGTGTAGTATGTAAGTAGCTGGGACATGGAGGAAGATACGACGATCCGGTTAGTGCCCACTGAAGCAGACCGCGATATGCAGCAACTCTGCTCATGAACTCATCTTCAACAAAATGTGGCCGTGTTCTGCACCCGTGATTTGCTGAGGGAGGGACTAGTATGGAGGATTGGTGATGGCTCTCGTGTCAATATTCATCATGACAATTGGATTCCACGGAGTGGTTATATGCGGCCACTGGGTCAGGTTTTTATCCAAGGTATTACTAAGGTTGCTGATCTGCTAAGCCCGGATGGCACTGCCTGGGATTGTGCGAAGATCGATGATATGTTCTCGGAGTCAGACGCTTAAGATACTAAGCAAATTGCGGTGGGTGGGCCTGGTACTGAGGATTTTCTTGCCTGGAATTGTACCAAAGATGGATTGTTCTCAGTCCGCTCCGCGTTCCACCCGCAGATGACTTTGAAAAGAGCTCGAATGCACGGATACTTCAGCCGACCAGCGTGACCAGCGTATCAGTATCGGATACCGTATCGGATACCGATACTCCTCTGATACGCCCCCGATACGTATCCCTGGAGTATCCGAGAATAAATGATTTAAAACAATTACAATACTCGAAGGATACTTTGCCAGTATGTTTTGGATACTTTTCCAGCCCAGGTAAGAGCCCACTCAGCCCAGTTAAAAGGCAACCAGCAACCCTATTGCCCCGATGCCCCCCATCCTTTCCCTCACAGCGTCTTTCCTCCCTCCCGTGCTCACACCAGGCGGCGGCTGTGTCCCCAGCGGCAGCTCACCCAGGTCCCAGGGCCAGCGGCGGCGGCGGCTAGCCGGCGACAAGCTGCTCCTCCTCACCAACATCCCCTATCACACAGCAGCCATCTTCCTCCTCACCAACGTCCCCTCTCACGCAGTAGCCATGTATGTACACTTCTCTTCATTTCTCCTGCCCATCCAAGCTCATCTCCTCTTCTTTCTTCTCTGATCTCTGAAGATCTCTTATTCTCATCTCCCCAGATTGCTTTGAGTAGCTACAACGTATCCGTATTGGCACTTTTTTTGAAATGACGAATTTACGTATCCGTATTGGCCCGATACTGATACCGTATCCATACCGGTGCATTCGAGGAAAAGAGGGAGCTCGGGACAGCCTGAGTCTTCGTCTTCTATTGATAAACACAAGGCATTTTTGGCGCTGTGGAAGAGAAATGTTCCTGGTAAAGCTAAGATCCACTTCTGGAGGATTCTTCGTAATGGGCTAGCTGTGGGATCAGAACTGCATAGGCGACATATTAAGGCTGGTGTATTCTGTGTTGCTTGTGGTAGGGAAGAGACTATCTGTCATCGGTTCTGGTCTTGCCCTCACTCTGTTCTTTTCTGGAGTTTGCTTCGAAGGGAGAAAGGGATTGGGGTTGCTAGTCCTCCTGTGTGGATGGATTCACAAAGGGAATTGGCCAACTAGTTGTTGGCTTGGCTCACTGGAGCTTGGGATGATGAGCGGGAGGCTATGATCCAGTCGGTTTATGTTCTATGGCTCGCTAGGAATGAAGCACGTGATGGGATTCAGATTGCACCGCCCCATGAAATAATGGAGAGGGTTGTGCATCTTTTGCATGAGTGGAGAGGTATCCATCAGCCTACTGTTAAGGAGAGTGTTGTTCAGAGCAGGCCAAAGTGGGAGGTGCCGGAGGAGGGATGGATAAAGATTAACCCGGATGGCGCCGTGTCTAAATTCGGTGGCAAAGGTGGCGGTGGTGCTGTGCTTCGAGATCATAATGGTGCGTTTATTGCCGGCCTCTCTCATCACTTCCCCCACATTTCTGAACCGGAGGCTACTGAGATACTAGCATGTAAGGAGGCACTGCAGGTAGCTATTAACCTGAACTTTGATCGAGTGCATGTTGAGCTGGACTGCAAATCTGTTGTGCACAAGATCAAGCTTGATCATCAGGATCTCTCCATGGCGGGTCCTTGGATTCGGGAAATTAAGCAGATGCTGAACTCTCGGGTGGATTTTAAGGTCTCGTGGGTTAGTAGATTAGCAAATGCAGCTGCGCATAAGTTAGCTAAGGTTGGAGTTGGGGATGAGTTGTGTAATATCTGGTATGGTGTTCCCCCAGAATGTATCTTGAATGTAATATCGGATGACATTCCGAGCTTTGGTTCTTAAATAAAGTAATGGTATCACCCCTAAAAAAA